CACACATACTTGCCATGTTAATGCATGAGAAGACAAAACTTGTTTGTAATGCTCTTCATGCTAACTCCTCCATGTTTGGAATGCTCTTCATGCAAAAGAATTGTTGCATGGCATGTTTAAAACCATAAGGTACAGATAATATTTTGATGCATTGCATGAATATTTAGTATAAGATAATAAAATTTGAAAGTCGTTCTTATTTCTTGAACTTTGTGTCCAGACAAACTATGACATGTAAAATGAAACAGAGGGAGTGATGATCTTTCCCCTGTTTCACATACATAGTTTCTTTATGTTCTTACTGAATTTGCTTTGTTCCTGATTTTGTTTTGCTTCTTTATTTTTAAATTTGATCTTTGGATGGAAGTGATGGATATGTGCCTTTTAATTTCACTTCAAATATTGGAAATTGGACTAAAAAGCAAGCCAATCCTAATTAATATTTTAAGGCTTCTCATTCATTAATGTTGTTAAGAGATTAGTTGAAGTTGAATGACCTGATATTATTTCTTGTGTTGATATCATCTCATTTGTTGTAATAGATTCAATTCTGGTTATAGTGAGTGAAAAACTCAACAAAAATTACGAGCTTCTTGGATAACCATTATTAGAACTGAAAAAAACATATTTGAATGAACAAATTGACATTTTTGTTTTCTTCAGTTCCTGTCATTCTTATTTCTCCCTTTCACAATTTCATTTTACCCTTTTGTGAGTCTCAAATTTCATCAGCTTCATCCTCTGTTAAACATTTTTGAACTTGCTTTATTTTTCTATCTTGGTGTTTATTTTAGCTCTGTGTTGGTGAATTTTTACAACACTTTCTTTGTTTGTAACAATCAATTTTTTGGGTTGCTTCTTCTTTTACTCAAAGTTCTGCATACATATCAATTATTTTCTGATTTTTCTCAGAAAAAGCTGTATAAACATAGTTAAACATGGCGAATTCTTAAGCAGGTCATACAATAAAGGTGATGTGTGCAGATTAAGAATATGATGCAAACAACATTAATAACAAGATGAGGCAAAGCTACAACAGATAAAGAAGATGAGGTAAAATCTTTTGTAACACATTAAGATAGAGCTTTTCGAATTGAAGTTTCTTCAACCTCACTGTTTGTTGTATCTGGGAGCCTCTAGTATGTCTTATAACACATTCCATAGGAACTCTTACCACTGTTACTTGTCATTACTGCATATGAATATGTAGTTAACATCTTGATCAAGTTTTTAAGTTGAAGCCTAAGGTGATTACTTGATTTTCCAAGCATTGTCTTTTAATGTTGATACAATAATTAATAGGATCAAATTTAATTTCATATGCATCATTCCATGGTTTTAAATAATCTATGCTTTGTTTATCTCTTTCATTGTGCAAGACATTAGATATTGTGCCTTAGGAATATGATAGAAATTAATAAAGAATGTGAACTGATCATCTGAAATCTTTATAGGTTTCACATTGACAGTGAACTGGCCCTAGCTTACTGTCACAGAACAGTACTTATTGAATTATTTTTAACTTTAAAAGGGTATAAATATAGCACCAGACAGCATAATATTCTATTCCTACACAAACTATGTTATATCTATTTGCATATCCAAATTCCTAATAACTGGCCATTTAATGAACCAACTCGACCAAGACTAGAAAAGAAAGAGATGAGTTTAACTAAAATCTATATGCTTCAACTGTGGTGATACTTGCGACCTTAACTAAAATGACATTGTTAGTAGCAACAATACCTATGCTGGTTCTTTGAATGTTCAAGGGTCTGTTAATGATGAAAATGCCCTAGCTTCCGTAAGAATCAATCAACCTGATTGTGTTTCTAAAATTCTCAGAGAATTTCCTGGAAATGACAAGTGCTCTGGTTGTGGTGCTTCAGAACCTGATTGGGCTTCTCTAAATCTTGGCATCCTAATTTGTATAGAATGCTCGGGCATTCATCGGAACCTTGGTGTTCATATCTCAAAGGTATATCTTTATCCATGTTGAAATTTCTTTGTTCCACTTTTCTACAAACATCTACCTAGTTCTTAATAAAAAGATTAATTCCATTTTGTTCACGGTGTTTATTCAATTTTGTACTGGTCCACATGCATTTATATTTGAGACTATGAGTATTTTCATTACTTTCATGACAATGCACTATTCATTATGGAAGGTTAGTAGCTATTGGATCTTTTTTGGAAATGTATTTTGAAGTATAACTTGTTTTCAGTTGCTGCCCCCAGAAAGTAACAAAATGAAAGATCTATGGGCCTGTTGAGTTGATTGATATTTGAGATACTTATCATTTGCAGGTAAGGTCCATATTATTAGATGTCAGGGTTTGGGAGCTAGCCTACCATCTTGGATCTATTCCGCACATTGGGTAATTCTTATTGTAACTCGGTGTGGGAGGAGCTGCTTCAACTTCCAAGTGACAGGTATGTACCCTTCGTTGATAATATATACAAGAAAGTCATTCTTGCATGGGTATAAATTTCTATAGATCTTGTATGTTTATTGATATTTGGGTTCAGATTTAATGTGAAAGGTCCTCTCCCAGCCAAGAAAAGACGAACTGTTGAGAGATATCAAAGATCACAAAATTTCAACTTAACAGTTCCCAGGATTATTTCCATGCTTCTATTCACTCTTCAATTGAACTAGTTAATATACAATCTATTTTTCCATTACAATTTGACATTCTACCTGGGTCAGCCTATCTATTCAGTACACATTGTCGGATAGAAAATGTTCCCATGTGCCATGATGATATAGCATGCATTTAGCTCAAATATTTTTAGAAACTATGTTCTGTTTGTGTTAGCTCATACATGTTCTGTTGGTGTTAGCTCATGTAAAAGGATTAATTCATTCAGATTAACAAATGTTGATACCATTCAATCTGCTTACAAGACATGCCCCAAAGATGCCTTTCATGAAAAGGAGAAGTATATTTTGGCAAAGGTATACTTTCTTTCATGTTTTAAGGGCTTTCCTTCTCCATGTTATACATTTTATCCCTTGTGCTAAGCTTGATCATCCATCAACTCAGTCTTCTTGTTTTTCCATGGAATTCTACAAAGAGAATCTCATGATCATTTGTCTGTTGTTTCATTAGTAGTGGAGGTCCAATCTTGAAACAGTGTGACTTCCCACTTACTGTGAAAGAACTATTTAAACAATGTGTCTTTCCTGGTTTATAGCAGCATAAATAGTTGACAGGTTGTGACAACAGAAACTTTGGTTTCTTTTCTCTCTAATCTGATCCCAGGCAGACGAGCAAGTGAATTCTCCATTTGCATTGGGCTTCCAGATTGGTTGATCAGAAACCATGGGCTGGTAGTGAATTTGAGTAGCAAGAATGGTCGCGACAGGATCCGAAGGTGCAGTTTTAATGATCTTTCTGATATCCCAGGTTCCATTGATAAAAAAAGCGTACACTTTGATGTTGTTTGGTGTTGAGTTTCCTCTTTTTCCATGCTTTGTTTTGTGCGACTGCTATCCTGATTTACATGTCTGCATTAAACTATCTTGGGATTTTTCTCCTGTTGCCCCTGTTCTTTGGCCTGAAGTGGATTACGAAATTCTAAATGTTTTTTGGCCGTTAAATTTTGATTTGTGAACTGTAATCTGAAACCTTCAATCTGGAACTATAATATGCAATATGCAATCTGGAATCTGGAACCTGGAACTGTAATCTACACCAATCTGCAATCTGGAATTCAAAAAATCTGCAGTCTGCAATTTGCAATCTGGACCTTCTTGCCTCTTCTATAACTGTTGCAATCTGATTTGTTGTACATTTTAAATGTGTAGGGAAATGGAGGTGATCAAATTTGAAGGGTCGCCACAAGTCAATTTGATCTCATTGAAGCGGATGATGAAGAGTTTTTGAACTATTGTAAAACTTTGAAAACATTATGTTTGATTTTGTGAAATATATTCATTGCTAGATTATATTGAACTATTGTAAGAGTACTTTTTAAACTATTGTGTACACATATTTAGAATATTGTCTTATAAGTACGTGTATGTACACAAGACATGATACTATCTTTTGAAGTTTATTGCAAATCTATATATTTGAATTACTTATCCGCCAATTTAATGCTTGAGATTATTTATTGCAAAACAATATTGGTGTTTTTTAATTAGAAATTGTGGCATATAAATATTTTATAGCCAAAATACACTACTAGAAATATGATCTATTGTCACGGTTAACTTACCGTTGCAATAGGCTTCTCTACCGTCGCTATAGCTCTAATGCCACGGTTTAGCCAACCGCTACAATAGTTGGCGTTGCATTAGTTCTATTGGGACAGTTTTGTCCGACGGTTATTTAAATTGTAGCAGTAGATGCCCCTATTGCGACGGTTTACAGATTAATAAATTGCCAACGGTTAAAGTTCTATTGGTACGGTTATGAACCGTCGGAATTAGTTTTATGCCACATTTATTTACAATCCATTGCCAATGGTTAACACCCCTATTGGTACCATTTTTTACCGTCTCGATAGAGTTTTATGCGACAATTCTTTGTAGGTTGTTGCTACAATTATTTTTACAACCATTTCATTCTATTGCAACGGTTGTTATATGGTAATGCATCAATTTTAAGCTATTATAATTGTTGCTCAATGTCTATTGTTGCAGTTATTACGGGGTAATGCAATAATTCTTTACTTTTTGCAACAATTAATATATACATATTGCAACGATTAATATTAGGCTATCCCAACATACATACTATTGGTTCCACATATATTATTAATTTAGCCATTGCAATACTTTTATAACATAAAATACACATAAAAAGATCATGCGAAGAAGTTATATTTCATTACCAAAATTATAATCTAAGATCCATGGTTGGGTACATATAATATCGATAAAAGCAAAATATATAAACATTTTTCAACCATTCAAAAAGGGTGAAATTAATGTACAGATGCACCACACGGTTTTCAATTTTCAGAAATAACAGATTTCCAGAACATAGGTAAAGTTAACATCAACTCAATTCAGCTCCTATGTCAAGTCTTCAGTACTACTTTCATCTCCTTCTTCGATATCATCACTGTCACGACCCAAGCCTAGGGCCTAGACGTGACATGGCGAATGAGGAACCCGAAGGAATCCCAAACAAGCCTCTCAAACTTGTCATCACACTTCATCGGTCGCGGAAGTACATTCAACATTTATTTAACGGGAAATAGGGACTAAGGGCAAACCATTTCGAAATGACATCATAGAACAAGAGTCAAGCTCATTTACAAAATACTTGTCCAACACACACCTCTACATACACAGATAGGACGGGGCCATGACATACTACCGGCTCCTCTCATAGTCAAAATACAATTGCAAGCTAAAGTCTCAAAACATAGGAGTAGGAAACATAACATAGCCCTCGAATCATTGAGGACTCACCAACAACTCGGATAAGCACCGTACTAGCCACGTGAATGGAGAGAAGGATCAAGAGTAGCTCCGGTCCCTACATGGTGACATCATGTAGGCAAAATATGCATTAGTACTTGGAATGTACTAAGTATGCGGGGTGCAACACAACAACAGACAAGGACACAATCGAAATACAAGAAATAGTTTCATAGGCATTATGAATAACAATATGATGATGCATGATCAAAGTGAAGTCAAAACATGTTTAAGTAAATCTATACTAATAGTAGATATCATATGTGTATGCATAATCCAACCAATCTATAACCCCAACTTAGGATGGGGGATGCCGTTCACACCCGGACACCCTGGTGGCAAGGTATAAACCCCTCACATGGTTGATGTTGGTCACACCCCAAGCATCCTAGGTGGTGAGATATAAACCTCTCACATGGTTGATGTTGGTCACACCCCAGTCATCCTAGGTGGTGAGATATAAACCTCTCACATGGTTGTCCGGTTCTTTTCCCCCGGACCGGGCATGGTCATGTAACACTTTATATAGGAAATTCCCATTAGGCTCTAATGCAATCTCACGTATGGAATGAACATATACACAAGCTTAGTTTGTCATCAACACATCTCTTGATTTCCATACATCTCATAACTCAAGCTTTAAAGCATCGATTCATCAATTCTCCATAGTTGGACATTTTGTCAAACACCTTGAAGGCATGTAATGGAATCAAAGAGCATGGAAAATAGGGTAGTAATTATGCAGCCAAACCAGTGAACAACCTACAACAACACCTTTTTAACATCCACAATACCACATGAAAATCTCCACATCCATTCCATATTTAGGTTCAAGTTCTAGAGTCACAACATGCTCAAAACAGTCACTTTTCATGTTTAAAATTCAATGTGCAGGAAATTATTACAAAGAACAAGACTAATTTATGAATCTTAACTTAAACCATGAATTAGTGAGTAGAATAGAGTCTAGGCACTATGGGTGGAAAGACCCATGAGTTCAACACCACATACCTTGAGTTTTTATGAAGGTCTTGAGAGTGTCTTCAATGGAAGTTTGGAACTTGGAGCAAGAGTCTCTTCAATCTTGAGGAAGGTTTTGGATTAGGGTTTTTGAGAGAACTTGAGAGAAAATGTGTCTAAGTATGGGAGAGGTGTTTTGGGAAATGTTTTAGAGATGAGAATTGAACTAATGGTATATAGGAAATAATATATGCCATTTGGAAAAATGGTCCAACACTTAGAAAAAAAAATGAGGCGGGTGAACAGTAAAAACGCTCACTGGAAATTTGCCTTTCCTGTCGGACAGATTTTACGAAAATGGGCATAACTTCTTCGTCTGAACTCCGAATGAGGTGAAACGAAGTGCGTTAGGTAGCTAAATCAAAGGGCTTTCCATGGATATGTTATTGGCCACCCAATAATTTGTGTTCTAGGAGATATGACCCTCCAAAGTAGACCCTCGAAAAAGGCTTCACTTGGAAATTTCGAATTTTGATACGGTTGCTCTAAAATTTGGGTTAGACCCATTTCCCACTCAATTTGACCCCCTAGACAAGAATATGAAGTCGGATTTTCGAAAAACGAAACAGATTTTTTATATATAGCTAAACAAGTTTCCGGTAACTTCCGAAGCACCTTTTTAAGAACTTTTTGGGTCATTTCAATATCTCCCCCTTGGGAACATTCGTCCCCGAATGTGGAAGAGACGTACAAGGCAAGACTTAGTATGAACATATCAGCCCCAACATGAATGCAAAAATTTTATTTAAACATCACTTCAAGATTTCAAAACTTAGTGTAAAGCATCCATAACTCATCAATTTAAACATATATGCAAATTAATGATTCAGGGGCTGAAATGTAAGACTCAATGGAGTACAAATGACTTAATTTAATACCTTAGGCTTGAGTGGAGTTGAATAGATAAGGATAACGTCTTTGCATGTCCGCTTCGGCCTCCCAAGTAGCACTCTCCACTTGTTGATTTCTCCAAAGCACCTTAACGGACGCCACTTCTTTGTTCCTCAACCTTTTAACTTGTCTATCTAAGATCTGAACCGGGACTTCTTCATACGTCAAATTATCTTCTACAACACCCACAACCTCAAGAGGTACAATAGCGTTAGGATCACCAACACATTTCCTCAACATCGATACATGGAATACCGGATGAACTAATTCCATCTCCTTGGGCAACCCCAACTCATAGGCTACTTTACCAACCCTTCTTATTATCTCATAAGGACCGACATACCTAGGACTTAATTTCCCCTTCTTACCAAAACGAACCACACCTTTCATTGGAGAAACTTTCAAATAAACCCAATCACCCACTTTGAATTCAAGATCCCGTCTCCTTACATCGGCATAAGACTTTTGACGACTTTGGGCTGTTTTCAAGCTCTCCCTAATCATCCTTACCTTCTCAAGAGCATCCATGACCAGATCCGGACCCAACAAGGCCACCTCTCCAACTTCAAACCACCCAATCGGTGACCTACACCGTCTACCATAAAGTGCCTCAAAAGGAGCCATACCGATACTAGAATGATAACTATTGTTGTATGCAAATTCAATCAAAGGAAGATGATCATCCCAACTACCTTTCAACTCCAATACACAAGCTCTAAGCATATCCTCCAAGCTTTGAATTGTTCTTTCGGCTTGGCCATCCGTTTGAGGGTGGAAGGCCGTGCTAAGCTTTACCTTTGTACCAAGACCCCTTTGGAATGACTTCCAAAAGTGAGAAGTGAATTGGGCACCACGATCCGAGATGATAGACAAAGGAATCCCATGCAACCTTACCAATTCATGAATGTACAACTTGGCATACTCTTCAGCCCCGTAAGTAGTTTTAATCGGTAGGAAATGAGCCGACTTTGTCATCCGATCAACCACCACCCAAACCGAATCAAAGCCTCTTCTAGCCTTGGGTAAGCCCACTACAAAATCCATGTTGATTTCTTCCCACTTCCAAGTAGGTATCTCAATGTCTTGAGTTAGGCCACCCGGCCTTTGATGTTCGGCCTTGACTTGTTGACAACTATGGCAACCCGAAACAAATTTTGCAATGTCCTTCTTCATACCGCCCCACCAATACACATCCCTCAAGTCTCTATACATCTTTGTTGACCCCGGATGAATAGAATAAAAAGAATTATGAGCCTCATCAAGGATTCTTTCCCTCACACCATCCACACAAGGAACACATAATCTACCTTGGTACCTAAGGGCACCATCTCCCCCTTGGGAGAAAACCTCCACCTTACCACTACTCACCGAAGCCTTTAATTCTACCAAAGAAGGATCAAGATCTTGCTTGACTATCACCTCATCAACCAAGGAAGACCTTGAACCATCAACAACAACTACTCCTCCACTATCCACCCCTTCTAACCTAACTCCCAATTTGGCCAACCGATGGACCTCCTTAGCCAACTCTTTACTACCTTCCTCCACATGAGCCAAGCTACCCATGGACACTCTACTGAATGCATCCGCCACCACATTAGCTTTCCCCGGATGATAGTGAACACTCATATCATAATCCTTAAGGAATTCTAACCACCTCCTTTGTCTCAAGTTAAGATCTTTTTGCGTGAACACATATTGGAGATTCTTATGGTCGGTGAAGATATCAACATGCACCCCATACAAATAATGACGCCAAATCTTTAAAGCAAAAACCACGGCGGCCAATTCAAGATCATGGGTTGGGTAATTTTTTTCATGAACCTTAAGTTGCCTAGAAGCATAGGCTATAACCTTACCACTTTGCATCAACACAAAACCCAAACCAATACGGGAAGCATCATAATAAACAACAAAACCTTCTAACCCATCCGGAAGTGACAAAATAGGAGCGGACACAAGCCTTTCTTTCAAAGTTTGGAAGCTTTACTCACACTCATCCGACCACACAAATTTAGCCTTCTTTTGAGTCAACTTAGTCATAGGAGAAGCAAGAGAAGAAAACCCTTCCACAAATCTCCTATAATAACCCGCTAAACCCAAGAAACTCCTTATATCCGACGGGGTCAAAGGTCTAGGCCAATTCCTAATAACATCGGTCTTCTTAGGATCCACCTTAATACCATCCCCCGACACCACATGGCCTAGGAAAGCAACTTCCTTCAACCAAAACTCACACTTTTCATATTTAGCATACAACTTCTCTTCCCTCAATCTTTGGAGTACAACCCTCAAGTGACCCTTGTGCTCTTCCTCACCCCGAGAATAGATCAAGATGTCATCTATAAACACCACCACAAAAGAATCAAGGTAGGGTTTGAAAACGCTATTCATCAAATCCATAAAGAGAGCCGGAGCATTAGTCAACCCAAAAGACATCACCACAAACTCATAGTGCCCATACCTAGTACGAAAGGCCGTCTTGAAAATATCACACTCCCTCACCTTCACTTGATGATACCCTGACCGAAGATCAATCTTAGAGAAGTGACTAGCCCCATGCAATTGGTCAAATAAATCGTCAATCCTTGGAAGAGGATACCTATTCTTGACGGTGACCCTATTAAGTTGTCGATAATCAATACACATTCTAAGAGACCCATCTTTCTTCTTCACAAACAAAACCGGAGTACCCCAGGGAGAATGACTAGGTCTAATAAACCCCTT